TTTCTCTGTATTGTTTTGGAGGCTGTCCTGGAACTCGCTCTGTAGACCATGCTGGCCTGGAACTCACAGAGATCTGCCGAGAGTCCCCAAAATCTTAATGGTTTCTACATTTCTCAAAAGCCCAAGTCCAAAATCTCCTCTGAGATAAATGTCTGTGAATCTCCATGAATAATAAAATACAGAAGACTTCCTTCTGAGGTGCTGTGGTAGAGAAATCATTGCCATTCTTTAAGGCAGAACAAGAAAATATCTGACCAAAGCAAAACTAAGCCAGAGAATAAAAATATTAAATTCTGTAGATCTGTACCTGGCATCCATGTCACATGTTATTATGGCATTGATTCCAGTAAGCTCAGATATTGCTGCTTCTAATGCTTATCTCTTGTGGCCACATGGCTTCTCTCTGTGGCTGGTTCCATTAATTCCCGGCTCCTTTCCTCTTTAGCATTCCAAATTCCTGTCCTCTTCAATATCCTTGGGTTCCCATTTTGGCTTAGTTTTTTCCTTCACAGCTTTAAATATTACATGTTGGGGGTATTCTTGCAAATATGAAACTGTTTTGCTCATTGCCAAGAATCTTGGGTCTCTTTAAAATCTATGACGGCATCTCTTGTCAACATCCAAACAATTTACTTCTAATCCAAACCCTTCCTTCTACCTTTCAAATCCACTGGCTCATTACTATCTGATAATACAAGCAGCATTCAGTGCTCCATTCTCAAACCAAGAATTAACAGGAACAACATAATTAACAGTCTAACATTTCCTAATTGTGAGCTCCAAAACTTCTAAAATCCAGAAACAACCAAAATCAAACAAGGTAAACACTCTGTCACACAGTTCAAAGGGTAGCATCTGATGCTCATAATAACTTGGGCCACCAAAAGTATTGGGGAGTCGCATTCCTCCAAATGGCCCATAGCCGGTCTTGTCTGATATGTAATTGTTCTGGCAACTTTACTATCCTGTAATTTCCATGATAACTTAAACATCATTTTCACCAAATTTATACAGTGGCCTACCTGATAGTCCTCTCAGGGTCCAACCCTACCACACACTGCCTGACCTCAGTTGCCTTTTATGTCCCCCCATATATTTTGTCTTTCATAATGTCAGATACAGTAAAAGGAAGTTCTGATGACAGTTTGAGATGAAGCCTCAACTCGTAGGCCCACAACTGTTAACAACATCTGTGTGCAGACCCTCAAGAAATACTTTCCTATTTTCCCAGTGATGAACCCAAGGTTTCTGCTTAATGATACTAATCTCTCTGACAGTTACAGTATCTACATTGTCCATACGCTCCTTTCCAACAATGCTTACTTACCTAACACACAATTTCTTTTTCAAACAAATTAATCCATTATGTTTAAATTTAACTTCACTAAATCTCAAAGCACATGGACAGAATGATGCCAAGATCTTGAAGAAAATACAGAAAGAATGGTCCCTAGCCTAGTTACTGACAGGGTCCCTGCTCCACTCAGATCCCCATAAACTGGGCTCCACTATTTGTACCTTTCTCAGAATTCTTTTATATTAGATGTTCAAGATTCTTTTCTGTTCCTATGAGAAAACATTCTGACCAAAGGTAACTTAAGGAAGGAAAGGATTTGCCTGGTTTGTGCTTATGGATAATAGTTCATCTTCAGAGGGACTCAGGATAGAAATTGAAGCAGAAACAAGAAGACAAATGTCATGCTCTAAACATTAAATAAAATAGAAAAATGGGACCTCTAGAAGAAAACTGAAAACTTAAAATTCAGTTATGTAACTACGTGGGACCTAGGGAGATGAAGCTTGAAGAGGTGTGATGTCAACTGCAGATCCATACTCCAGGCAATGGTGAAAAGGGAGACTTTCCTGACAGGCATTTAAATGGGAAGTGTCCCACAGGCATAATGGTGGTGACATATGTGTAGGTATTCAGTCCCACACATTGGCTTTTCAGTTATTCTATGACATTTTAATCTAAATTAATTATAGCATTAAAAATTAGAGAAGTGATAGATAATATGTTGGTATAGTTTCTCCCTACTCTGTAGCAATGTGAGCCCCCACACTGATAAAATAATTAACAGAAAGTGTCATTGATATTGGTAAAAAAATTACCTAAACTATAGACCTCAATGAGACTGCATCATTTTGAACATCTCACATGTTGCAGGGTTCTGGGCAGTGCCAATGCTGGATGTTATAAAATGTGCAGAGGGAGGATCCTGTCACTATACAGGAAGCAATGAGACTCAAATAAGGCCAGACATACTCCTTTTATATCAACTCACAAACACTACTAGAGGTCACATGTGAGCCCAGGACCAAGATCCCTAGGACCAGTCAAAAGCCCCACAGGTACTCCCAAAGCCATCATCCTGGATAAACAAGTGTCCACTAATTGGTAGATACAGTCAAACCACATCCAAAGCACAACATTCTTCCCATGGTGACCCTCTTGTGTTCCAAATGAAATTGTAATTTTTAATGGAAAGGAAATGAAGATACCTGTGATTTAAAGGATTTAAGGTTAAATCATAGAAGAACAGGCTTAGAATTCAGAGCATTTTTACTGGAAGAAGATTAACAAATTTCATAGAGTAGGTTATAGGAACTGGTACACATGCTGAAATCTGTGGTTCAAGAGGTGGGTGAGCCAACACACTTATGTGTACTGATGGAATAAAAGAAAAATAACATTTCTGTTCATAGGTGCTAGCTTTAACCCCAAATATGGGAGGAGAAAGACCACTGACCTAAATCATCATGGCCACATAAATTTAAAAAAAAACAGTTAAAGCAAGCATTTTGACTCATGTACATGAGCTTCTGCTCCCTTGATAAGGAAAAAATCCACTGGGTAAACTAAGATACTTATTAAAGAGAGCAACCACTTTCATGGGAAGCACTCTGCCCTCCAAATATAGCCATCATCCAAGAGAGGGGTGGCACCCACCTTTTCCTTCGTTTATATCCTAAATCTTACCACATACACATGACTATGGGGCAAGATGCAGGTACCTGGTCTCTTTCTACATTCCCTAAGATGGGGTTCAAGCATTGAGCATTGGATGTGAAGAAGACAGGGCTTTTATTGATGAGGAGTGTACTTCTCTATGCCGTGAATATATGTTTCTCTTATTGGTTGATGAATAAATGCTGAATAGCCAGTAGAAATTCAAGAAGTATAGATAGGGCTACCAGACTAGGAGAAGCCTGGGAAGAGGAAGGAAGAGAGGAGCCACCATAAAGACACCATGTAGCTGCAGAGAGAGCAAGTGCAAGGCATCACTCATAAGCCAAGACAAAGTGGAGATACATAGTTTAAGTGAAATGGGTTAATCATTTAGAGAGAGCTAGCCAATAACAAGCCTGATCTTTAAATGGATGGCACTAGAAGAAACCATCCTGAGTGAGATAACCCAGTCACAAAAAGGCAAACATGGTATGTACTCACTCATATATGGATTGTAGACATGAATCAGGGGAGTGCCAGCCTACAATCCCACTGCCAGAGAGTCTGGGAAACAGGAAGGACCCTAATAGAGATATGCATTGTACCCCAGAGAAGGGGGAATGAGGCAGTATCTCCTCAGCAGATTGGGAGCATGGGGAGAGAGGGGAGAGCGAACCAGGAAAAAGAGAGGGGGAGAAGATGAGGGGAGAGGAAGACATGCGGGAGCAGGAAAGTTGAGTTGGTGGAAGAATAGAGGAGAGCAAGATGAGAGATCCCATAATAGAGGGAGTCATTCTAGGTTTGAGGGAAGTTCTGTCAGTAGTGCGATTTCCAGATTCTACAAGAATGACACCAACTGGCATGCCCCTCCCTGATAATGATTTTGACAACTATCTTATATACCATCCTAGAACCTCCGTCCAGTGACTGACAGAAGCACAGGCAGACATCCACAGCTAAACTCCTGAAACCCAGTGACAGAAAGGGAGAAATGATGAGCAAAGGGGTCAAGACTGGGCTGGTGAAACACAGAGAAACAGCTTACCTGAACAAGGGGAAATTGTGGACAACAGACTCATGCCAGAGAGGCCGTGATGGTACTGATCCACACCCCCTGAATGTGGGTGTCCATGAGGAGGCCTAGGCAATCTATGGGGCTTCAGATATTAGATCAGTATATATCCCTGGCACAAAAATGGAATTTGGGTCCCCATTCCACAATGAAGGATGCTCTGTCAATCTGGACACTTGGGAAAGGTCCTAGCCCCTTCACGGAATGAAATGTCAGAGGCTAGAGATCCTCATGAAGGGCCTTACCCTCCATGGAGAACAGAGTTGGAATTAGGTATGATACTGTGCACGAGAGCTGGGGGGGGGAAGAGGAAGCTGAGACTGACATGGGAAGCAAGCTTGTTTCTAATTTAAATACATAATTAAAAGGTTTAAAAATAGTGAACTTCAGTTGAACAGAAGGAGAGTAATCACAGGAATGTTGATAGCAATTGTCAATACTAAAGAATATTTACTGGGAATTGTCTTCAGCATAAAATTATTCAACTAAAATCAAAGAAGAAAAGCAATAAAAAATGAAGCCTGATCTTAATATAAGCCTATGTGTGTTTATTTGAGACTAAGGGGCTGCAGGACCAGGTGGGACAGAAATCTCCATCTACATATTATAGAGCTTGGGTATATGGGGTTTCCAAATAGGGGAAACATCAAGGATACAAGATCAGAACATAACATGCAGTTGAAACAAGGTAATAAACACGGGTAGTCATAAAATGTAATCAAAGTTGGTCATGAGACCTTTTTAAACAGCAGTAGTTTTGCAAGACTGCTATAAATAACGTTTTGAAACAAAGATGTGATTACCATTCCTGGAACAGTCAGTACAGAATCATTTATTCTTGAGACACTTAAATCCAATCCTTGAGAATCAGAGGTTTAATCATAAACAGGACTGAACCTAGTTTATCTTTACTATGATGTGGCTATGAAGATTAAGACAGAGGCAGGCTGGTTCTTCATTTGTAATAAAAGTATGAAGATGGGTAAGAGTTGGAACACAGGGCACCTGCAGAGGATTTAAAAGGACTGTCAGCTTGAATGTCATTTGGAAGAAAACCACACTGAGTCCACCATTGCTGTGGAGGAGTACCAAGAGTGTCACACCATCACCATTGAGAGCCCTGCAAAGCGGCATGGTCTACTTAAGCTTCAGTTATACAGTTGCTAACCCCAGGCTGGCACTCTTTGATGTTTCTGGTTGTGGAAATTGCCCCTGAATAGAAAGAAGAACAATTATTTACAGGAAGGTAGACCAGTCCGGATGGGATGGTAGAGTTGATATGTCAGGCATGACGTCATTAGGATTCAGTTTTTCCTTACACACCTCAAGCTAATACTACTTGATGTTACAAACTATGATGGAAATTGGTCCCTAACTGAGGGTATAGTAATTATTGGACACAGGTAGACCTAAAAGGATGGAATGGGAGATGCCAATATGAGAGTGGAGATGGGGCAGATGCCAAGAAACATCTTAGTAGGCATCAGGACTCAAAGGTTTCTGTTGTGTGACTTTCCAGTATAAATACTAGGAGTCAGAAAGTCTACTCAACATTTTTTAAGCCTCACCTCACACATTTCCTCATATCTTGAAGGTAAATCCCAATTTCAGAACAAGGAAGCCAAGTCTAGAATGAAAGAACCTTCTTCATCCTTGGACAGCTCACCACCTCTAGACCTGAAAATGGAAGAAAGGTAAGGATATATTCGAAGAATGTTCAGAGATGCACTGTCATGTGTTTTCTCTAGGTTCATATGCCCATGTTGTTACTACATAATGCTACATGCAGGGTCCTGGGCTTCCTCCAGGAAAGGCATGACAAAGAAGCTTCCTTATGAAGCACAGAGATGACCTGGCTTAAACAGACTTTTCTTACTTTCCTAAAATCATTCATATTCATGTCTGTTGTTTCCTTAAGGAAGAAGGTTATGTGAAACCCTGCACAAGAGGTTCATTGTTTGTTGTTTATCAAAGCTGATCTACTGTGTTTGTATGTTGCATTCAAGAAGAAAAAAGATGGTTATAAACAGAATAAGTGAAGAATACCACAATAAGTGTATATTTACATAGGCCAAGGTCTTAGAGACAGAGGAAATACATGGAGAATAATGATGAAGCAAGAGAGGGAAGGAAGTTGTCCACTCCTTGCCTCTCACAATCATCAGCAGGAACTGGTACCGGAGAAGGATGGATGGGTTTGGGGAGGGAAGCAACAGAGCTCATACTTATAGGTCAGTAGTAAGAGGGGACAGCTAGATGCCTAGACAAGTACTGATATTGTCAACACAAAGATGACCAGGAGAAGGGTAGAAAACACAATTCTCAAACACCCTTTCTTTTGCTCCCTTATGTCCTTGGAATGTTACCAACTGCCTCTACTAAAAAGAAACTCAGAGAGAAGAACGTCTCTCAGGGATGAAATAAGGCCCTTTTATAAGACTTCAACAAACAGAGAGAAAGGTGCAAGGGAAAACTTCCTCACCTTCAAGTCTTCAGGTTATCTGTCATCATATCATTTCTCATTCATCTCCATTAGACTCATTTTTGTCTTGTTTGTATTTTACTTCTCTACTGATGCTCTTGTGGGAGACTCATCCATTTTGTTCAAAAAATAAGAAGGTTAGACTGAAATCTATGTTTGAAAACATACTTACTTACTACAGCATGAGAGTGGCTAAGCAAATACATAACTGTGGAATCCTTTACCAGGAAAGCTGTTGTGTATAGATTGGCAGCTGCACCTTATCAGACACAAGAACTGCAGCTTTGCTGGTCCTCAGGTCTAAGGGGGTAGCAGCATCTGTGGTCAAGGTCTCTCAGCCACATCATCATGTCAGTGCATGGGAAACACACAGAGGAGCAGGAGTGATGTTCCTGTAAAATCCCTGTTACATTTCCCCACACATCTTTGAATATCCACTTTCTGGTCATGTGTTTGTCATCTTATTCAGACAAAATGCAAACGGTGTCCCTTTTAATTTAAAACGCAGATAATTCAGTAAGAGAGAAATTAATGGACTTGGTCTGTCTGGCAGTCTATGAATGTCTTGAAGGTCTCTCAAACATGGGATCATAGCAAGATTTTTTTTTGCTATCTTCTCAAAAATGCGGAAAGTGGAACAGAGAACACAGAAAAACATCAGAAGACATGCAGAGAGAAGAACTCAAGGATATGATATTAATGAAATTACAGGAAACCACTTTTGAAATTTAACCATGCTTCCCCCCAATGGAAAACATCACAGCAAATGTCGTTTAAGGAAAGCATGTCTACGGGCTGCAGGTGAACACTACCATTGCTACTTTTAAGGTGACTGTAGCTGATGTCCACCACCTCAAACATCATTTCCATTTGACTTCTCTCCTGCAGCTTCACATGTTTTTCAGTTAGGAATTTTATTTAACCACAGTTGTGACTGCTATCTTGCTTATAGTGTGGGTCAGTCTCCAGTGCTTTTCCATTACTCACGTCTAATAGGCACTGGGTGTTGTGGTGTACACAAGTTTGTCAATGAGTTAATCCTTTCCTGGAATTAGTTTATAAAGTAACTTGGTAAAAACATGATAATATGAATTCCCACCTCTGGAATAATCCAGGCCTGACAAGGCATGCCCAACATTCCAGTACTGGAGATGCAGAAACCAGATGATCGCTGGTCTGCTATTGAGTCTTTGAATTATATGTTCAGTGAGGAATCCTGTCTCAAAAAGTAAGGTACTGATCTATCAAAGAAAAGCTTTATATCTGCCTATAACTTCTAAAATCACATGAGCACACACACGAGCACTGTTACTAAAGGTTTTTGGAATTCACACTGACACATAACCAGTAACTCATCCTTTTATGCTACAATTCCATTCCCAGAAAACTGGTTAAAAAAGCAATCAGGTGACAATATAGGTAAGCTTTTAAAGAATGGATTAATTTATTCTGCATATGAACTCATCCTGTTCCTCTACTAACTAGAATCTAGTTGCAACTACTTATCCATTAAGGTCTGTATTTCAACTGCTGCACCTTCTCAGCTTCTCTTCAATCTGCACAGAAGGCTTTTGTCATCAGAGAAAACTCTCCATCTCCTACCATCTTCTGGGAGAGACTATGGAAAAGGCTGGTGTTATATTTGGTCTTTCTTTCTCATTTCTCTGCACCCCACTTAGCAGATCTGACCATGATCCAGTTCCCTCTCTGCAGCAGTACTCAGACCTCACCTTGCTTCCATCTCCCTCCTTCCTCTGCTGCGCAATCATGTCAGAACCATATCCATCCCCAGGTCTAGCACCTAAGTGTGTCCTGATGCTTTACTAAGCTGTGTTGGGTTTTAGCTCACTGACCTGCCTTTGATCTACATCATTGATTTGTCCATGCATGAATGACTTCTGAATATATTCAGGGCTGTTGACAAAAAGTGTTAGCGATATTGAGAATGTTTTATTTTTTTAATGGAATTCATTTTTAAGTGGCTGTAACTAAGTGGACATGAAAAACAAAGATTTGCTCCATGACCATTTGACCAACACTTCCTGTGGTCTGTGGTACAATGTAGGTTTCAGACAAGTGTGGATAGGACCTGCATTCAGCATCTGAGCAGAAAGTCATTGTGTGAATTTGATGGCTCTCTCCTTACTAATTCTCTAATTAAGACTCCTATGCATTTCGATCAATCTTCTTAATGGCACCAATCATTTGTGTGGAGTCAGGTTTTGCCATAACATAGACCAGCATGGTGTAGTAACTTTTCTTAGTTAGCACAGAATAACTAATCAACTACTTCCTTTTAATGTATGATTGGATTTAGTGAAACCATAGTTCAAACAAATGAAGGTCTGTTACTGACCTCAAAATGGGACCTAGGTATAAGGAGACCCTTTAGCACAGCAATTGAATGAATTCTTTTCTCCATTCTGCTTTTATTGAGAAATTAGATCTCCCACTCAGCAAGCTTAAGAGTAAAATTGTGAGTGTGTGTTTGTGGGATGCTGGCTGACTGGGAGGATGACTTACACCTGGGATGATGACGAACCGGGGTGCTTCCCAGCTCTGATCTCATTGTTAAAGGAAAACAACAATGTTCTCTGTCCTATTTGGTATAAACGGTTCACACAGAATGATTACTTTTTCTTTTAAAATATTATTAAACCAGGACAACTTCTTGCTACATTCACATTTATAATAGCGTCACATTAGCAGTGTTGTCATGTGAATGATAGGCAATCCCGAGTGAAGGTTTTTCTTTTTTTTTCTTTAAATAGAAACAAGCTTGTTTTACAGGCCAATCTCAGTTTCCTCTTCTTCTCCTCTCCAGTGCCCCGGACTAACAACCTATCTGGTGGTAGAAGTCCTTTTGTGTATATGTTGATGAATAAAACACTGTTGGCCAATAGGGAAGCAAGATAAGTGGGACTAGGAGTCTAGGATGATTCTGGGAAATGTAGTAAAGAGTAGAGAGTTACCATGTGATCCCAGGAAGAGAAGATACTTGAGGCTGTGTCCTTGGTAAGATAAGACCTTATACATACATGTATGTATGTTATGTATGTATGTATGTATTTATTTATTTATGGGTTACTACTTAAGATGGAACAAGCCAATGAGAAGCCCTGGACATTCGCCAAGAACATTATAACTAATAGAGGCTCTGTGTGTCATTTTCTGGAGAGAACACGCATTACAAATATTCATATTACTTCTTTGGGGATCTTCTGTTCAAATCTATACCCTATTGTTTCACTGCGTTTCTTTTCTTGGTGTTTTCTTCTTTGAGTTTTTTACATTTTAGACACCAGTCTTGTGTGTGCATAGCTGGCTAATTTTACTGGTTTTACTTCAATAAGGTGTTTTTTCCTGTCTTCTATAAGTTCATCCAAGTGTTTATTCAAATCGTTTTCAAATTCATTGACCTCCTGAACATGCTTGTAACTCTTATTTTAAATCCTGTGTCTTCAACTTCACCTAAATTATATTTGCTTGGAAAACATGCTACAGAATTCATAGTCTTTAGAAGAAACATTGTCTTTTATTCATATTACTTGTAATTTTATGTTGGAACTTGGACTCTGGAGTTTGGTTCTTGGTTATATCTTCTGGTTATGTTTTACGCACTATTTGGAGTCACCAGATAGACTATGAACTACATACTTTGTGGGAATCCCATAGAAGCAAAGTTTGGTAGAGGCAGTTCTCTATCAGGGGTCTGTGAGTACCTACAGAGGAGATCAAGAAAGGGTATTTAGATGGATAGCTACTGTAGTCCTAAGAAGATATATACAAGGAGAGTGGTTTCTATCAGATTGGCTGTGACTACTAATTGGCAGTTATATATTCTCTCAGAATATAGAACATTGCATTCCAGTGCTTTTCCAGATGTAGGATTTTTAGAGAGGACTCTGTTATTTTGTTCATAGGTTTTACTTTATGGGTGAGCTGACACATTTTCCTTCATCCTTTAACGTCAGCATTCTTTATGTTTCATCTACTCCTAATGTCAATGTATTTTCTTATGTAGGTCCTTCCTTTTTCATGTACATTTGGATGGCCACCATGGTTCGATTGCCCTTATGTTTTTGTAGTTTAAGAAAAATCCATGTAATTAATCTTCTGTGCTTTAGTCTGCATCTCAGACCATCTTTTGCAAAAAAGATACTGGGGATTGTTCTCTAAATTGTGTCCCAGAGGTCAACAAAATTGAGATCTTTTTCTATTTCTCTTCTTTCCTTCCTTAATTCCCTTTTTAAAAATTTTTGTTTCCTTTTTCTTTCTTTTACTTCAGACCAGGCTTTTCTAGACTTCACTATGTAGTTGATATTGTGATTGAAGTCATGGATCACTTCCTGGCCCAGCATCTAGAATCTGATATTCCATAAGTAAGGTACCATGCCTGGTAGATAGTTTCTATTATATGCTGTCTTCCCTGTAGATGTTTCTGTATCACAGTGGACTCTGTTTAACACAGTTGTCACTTCTTTCTTTTCCAATTTCTTCAAATATACGTTTTTATTCTTCAAGAGTATTAGAAGTTCAGTAAGCATCAAATGAATGCCTACATACTGGACTGAAACTCTTTTAGGCCATCGGCATAGTCATTTATTGAACATTTAATGTTGTAAAATAACCAAGGCCATCATTACTCATCTTGTAGCACAAGCCATTCTTTCAAACACTAGAACATTCCACTGACAGACACCTCAGCAATGAAATTTTCTTCCTTTTCTATTGTTTTGTGGTACTATCTTGTAAAATATTTGAAAATATCTACCCTCAATCTGTAGCTACTGTTGGGTTTATGATTAATTTATTCATTATTTCCATGGAAGCTTTCAATTTCTCATGGTGTCTCAGTAGAGAGACAGACACTTGTGATGTAACAGCAGACGACTGAAAAGTGCTTAATGTCCTCAAAGGCTTTCCTGCTTTCTAGTGTCAAATCTGAAATGGAGAGTAAGTCACATTAACCTGCATGTCTGGTTGTTTTCATACTGGTCTTAGTAAGACTTGCCATTCCCATCATGACTCTCATTTAAGATTTCCATATTTTCTCAGTCCTGGCCTGTCATGCCAGGACTGAGAGTAGCTATTGGTCATGCTTTTGGATCCCAAGTCCCTGCACTAGAGAAGAACCAGTCTTAGGACAGAAGAATTTGGGTTCACCTTTCTATTTCCTTCTGACACAGCTCTAGACACTGTGTGTCTAAATTGGGACCACCAACTACTCTCAGTACAGGGCATCTTTTGTAGATAGCCCAAATAATTACAACTGGGTTTAAATTAAGGCTCCAGAAATATTGCTTTGACAAATTACTTTCTATCTTCAATCCTGTGTCTCCTCTCTATGAAAAGCTCAGTTGTTACCACAGAGCAGGGTGGTCCTGGGAAGCAGAGAGTACACAGCATGTGCTCATATCTTTTTAATTTTTGTTTTTTGCCCCAGGAACACTAGTGGAGTGTTTCTAAGCAAGGATTCCAACATCTCAACCTGGGAGTCTCCCATCACAGCACCAAATGAAAGCATCTATAAGGTTTCTTCATATTGTGACATCAGGTTCCAAGCCATGATTTCTCTTTACCTCATCTTTGCCCTGTTTGGGATGGCAGGAAATGCCATGGTACTGTGGTTGCAGGGCTTCCACTTGCACAGAAACGCCTTCTCTGTCTACATCCTCAACCTGGCTAGGGCCGACTTCCTCTTCCTTTTCTTTCAGTTTGTATTTTGCCTTCTTTTTATCATTCACTTCTTTTTCTCCACTCCCATCCACAGTCCTTTGTTTTTTATTGTTCTGGCAGCATTTCCTTATTTTTGTGGGCTGAGCATTCTCAGTGCCATTAGCATTGAACGCTGCCTGTCTGTCATGTGGTCCATCTGGTATCACTGCCAACGCCCAAGGCACACATCTTCTCATCTTCTGTCATATGTGCCTTTCTTTGGGCTCTATCTCTGCTGTTGTGTTTCCTGCATGGAGATGTATGTGGTGTGCTGTTTAATAGTTATGACTTTTTTTGGTGTCAGACATTTCATTTCATCATGGCTTCATGGTCAATTGCTTTATTTGTGGTTCTATGTGGGTCCAGCCTCACCCTGCTGCTCAGGGTCTTTTGTGGCTCACATCGGATTCCTGTGACCAGGCTGTATGTGATCCTTGTACTCATTCTGTTGTTCTTCCTGATCTTTGTTCTTCCCTTGAGGATTTACTGCCTCCTCTACAAATGGATTGGGACTTTGTATCATGTTAAATCTTGTGATATTTCTGTGACACTATTCCTACCCTGCATTAACAGCAGTGCCAACCCCATCATTTACTTCTTTGATGGCTCCATCAGGCACTGCATATTCCAGCGGAAGACTCTGAAGCTGTTTCTGCGGAGAGCCCTGCAGGACACTGCTGAGGAGGAGGAAGGTGGGGAGAGGGGTTCTTCAGGAGAGCAGCAAGAACTTGAAACTGTCTAGTGCTCTAGCAGGGAGATTCTTTGATCAAAGATAAGTGCTTTATAAAGAGAAAATTTTCCTTATGTTTGGGCTATTTTAACAATATATTTGAGTTTGTAATCTGATCTCATTTTGTTAAAAAAACAACCACTTATGTGAATATTTACTGACACAGAATGTTTTATACAAATACTGACTGTAGCATTTCTGTAGCTGTCTTTTCAGGGAGGCATCTCCTTTTGATGGTGCTCCTTGTAATTATCTGGCGTCATGGACTACTCCTACAATTCCAAACCTTACTTCACCAGAAGCTTAAAGAAAGTGCAGCTTCAGATTGCATTGCTTTATTTACTGAAATTCATAGTGACTAAATAAATTATATATTTTACACAACTTCCTTTTATAGAAACAACCTTTTTTCAATGTTTCGAGAGTTAAACAGATACATTATAATCACAGTTCTTATTAATTTTTGTAGGATTTAAATAATTTATGGACCTGATTATCTTTCTTATACAAATGGCTTAGTAAACAAATATACAATATCAAGGAAAGCCTATTAAAATATTTTCACCCAGTGGAGTCCTTACCTTCAAGTTCACTGTGTCTGCCATTTTCTGCACTGGAAATGTTTAATCAGGTTTTGTAATGAGATCCATCAACATCCACTCACATCTGAAGGTAAAAGGACACTGTCCTCTCTGGTTGCCTTCACAATGCCTTGCTTACTATTCCATTGTCAAATCATTTATATTCCTCTGTTCTCTTTGCCATGATTCCCCTCTCTCTGATGGTCTAATCCCTTAAAACAAATTTCCAATAATTACCAATAAAAGTAAAAACTTACAGTTTAGTTAGGTTTTCCAGATATACAGAGATATATTTGAGATAGACAGTCTTCAAACCTTTCAAGGACCTTCAGCAAATGGCATTTAAAATGGTTTAGGGTTTTTTTAACAATGATAATTGTCTTCTCCTGGCACACCTGAGCGGAAGATGAATACTAAAGAAACTCGTTATGGAGTTTTCTTTCGACATGGCAAGATTAGCCATTTGGGCAAGAAATGGCTCTTGTTTGGACTGTTGCTGTATAAACTGGACACACAGTACCCACAGGAAAGTGACTGTTGAGCTTGAACAGTCCTACTGGGTTCTTGCTTCATAGAATAGTTTGCCAGGAATTCTGCAGGACACAGAAAAATGACTGACAGTCTGCCAATGCAGGCAGACAGTTTAAAATTTCCTGCTTTGCTGAGAAGTCTTTCAGACATACTGTGGCCTATGAGCTAAAGATGAATGCCCCAATGTTACAGAGGAACTTCAGGTGACTATCCACGTGGTGAGATGTCTTTGTCAATTCTAGTGTTTATATAGTATCCTTCTGTGTTCTTTGATGGAGATGAAGATGGATAGTTATAATTATAGTTTTCCTTAGTTATGATAAAACATAAGCTACATATAAGACTCTAGACTCACACGGATAGGATAGATAATAAAATACTTTCTTTAAATCTTACTAAATGTTAATAGACAAAATATTGTAACTATAGTTCTTGCCTGATAACTGTTCTTTTATATGTATAATTTGACTATGTTAAAGTTAAAATTTTTTATATAGACAGAAAAGAGGAGATGATGGGGGAAGTCCTTCTGTGTATATGTTGATGAATAAAGCACTGTTGGCCAATAGGGAAGCAAGATAGGTGGAAATAGAATTCTAGGAGGATTCTGGGAAATGTAGTGAAGAGAATCATCACCATGTGATCCCGGGGAAGAAAGGACAGGTCAGGATGCCATCCTCAGAAAGATATGTTATATATATGTTAATAATTACATCAGAGCTAGCCATTAAGAAACCATAGTATATGGTCAACAGGTTCATAATCAATATAGTTTTTCGTGTGTTATTTGGGGGGCTAAATAGTGACAGGACCCAGGTGGCTGGTGGGAAGAGTACATGTTATACTTATGCGATCCACTTTATGCTCTTCAGGGAAGATGTGAACATCCATTGGGGATCTTCAAAGTCTGTAATATCATTTAGGTCAGTGCTTTGGCCCTCCTCCATATGTCTAGGCTGAGAGAGCATCCTTTTATGTGGAATGGGCTCCCAATGTTCATTCTTTTGCTAGAGATCAATACTGCTCTACTATCAGAGGACCCATAGATTGCTGAGGCCTCCTCACAGTTACCCACACACAGGGGGTCTGTATCAGCCCTATGCTGGTTTCCCAGTTATCAGTCTGGGGTCCATGAGCTCCATTTTGTTCAGGTCTGTTATTTCTGTGAGTTTCACCAACCTGGTCTTGAGCCCTTTGCTCATCACTCCTCCCTTTCTGAAACTGGATTCCAGGAGTTCAGTTCAGTGTTTAGCTGCGAATGTCTGCTTCTGTTTCCATTAGCTACTGGATGTAGTCTCTAGGATAGCATATAAAGTTGTCATAAATCTTATTATCGGGGAAGTGCATTTAAGGTAGACTCTCCACTATTGCTTAGATTGCTAGTTGAGGTCATCACTGTATATCTCTGGACATTGCCCTGATGCCAGATTATCTTTAAACCTATAATGGTTCCACCTATCATGGTATCTCTTATCTTGCTCTCATCTGTTCTTCCCCCTACTCAACCTTTCTGCTCCTCTATATCCTCTTCTCCCCTCATCTTCTGCACTTCTCTTTCTCCTAGCTCCCTCTTCCCATCCCCATGCTCCCAATTAGCTCAGAGATCTTGTCCCTTTCCCCTTGTCTGGGGAACCATACATGTCTCTCTTACGGTCCTCCTTGTATTCTAGCTTCTATGGCAGTGTGGATTGTGGGCTGTTAATCCTATGCTCTATGTCTAAAATCCATGTATTAGTGAGTATATACCATGTTTGTCTTTTTGTGACTGGGTTACCTCACTCAGGATGGTGTCTTCAAGTGCTATCTATTTGCCTGTGAATTTCAAGATTCCATCATTTTCCCCACAGAGTCATACTCCATTGTGTAAATGTACCACATTTTCTCTGTCCACTCTTCAGTTGAGGGGCATCTAGGTTGTTTCCAGATTCTAGCTATTGCAAATAATGCTGCTATTGTTGTATGAATGTGCATCTTTTTGGTATATGCCTAATAGTGGAATTGCTTTATCTTGTGCTAAACTGATTCCCATTTTTCTGAGGAATCTCCATACTGATTTCCACAGTGGTTGTACAAGTTTCTAAACATCGCAAGGTTTTTGAGGGTGGCATGGATGAAAGAACAGTTGGTAGTAGGAAAAAATCATATTTGGGGCAATAAAACATTGTCTCAATAGTTCCACTCATATGAGGCTGCAAATAACAACCAACACTAGATACACACTTTAAATGTGCCTCACTACTGGAATGAAGTGAGTGATCTGCATGGCCCTCATGATGAAAGGAGCCATGGACTACAATAAACACCCTGTCTGCAGTAGGGCCATGGTACCAGACATGGCTCCCAGTGGAAGCCCTAGTGCCAGACATCACCATGGCAACTGACAGCAGAATGTGCCACTTTGGTCTACATGGCCACAAATGTGTCATAACTCTTGGATACTAACATAGTCCCAGGAGGCTGATCAGATCCCAGAAACCACACAAACCCTGATTGCAGCATTTAGTCCAAATTCAAAAGTCGTCAAATTCTAAACAATGTCAAATGTGTTTTAAAGTCCAAAGTCTCTTCCAAGACTCATGCCAATCTCTTATTTTCCTGTAAAATCAAAATGAGAAAGGAGATCACATACTTCCAACACATTATGACACATGATATATATTACCATTCCAAAAATGGAAGAAAGGGTGCATAGAGAAAAACTGGACCAAACCAAAGGAAAACCAGCTGGGCAAACTCTAAACCCTTCATCTCCATGTTAAATATCAAAACACAAGTCAAATCCCCAACTCTGTTCAGCTTTGCTGACTGCAACATACTTCTTTTCTTGGGCTGATTCAACTCCCTGTTAACAGATTTCCTGGGCATGTGTCCCACAGCTCTGGAATCTTCAGAAACAATCCAGTGTTCACATTAGCATCTTCACATAATGGCCTATCTAGTCCTACATTCAGGGCCACTCCTGATACATGCCTGGACTCAGAAACTTTTTATTGCTGCAGAGGGAAATGTCATAACCTTTCTCCTATCTTTGACTGTAAGTTAGAAAAACATGGCCATAGCTGCCAAGTTACACTGCTTGCTGCGTTTGTAACATGGCCCCCTCATACCTTCACCTGTTTTCGATAGTTTCCTTCAGTGCCTAAAACTGACTGTCCTGAAACTCAGTCTGTAGGCCTGGCTGGCCTTGAGTTAGGAGATCCACCTGCCTCTGTCTCCTGAGTGCTGAAACTAAAAGCACATACCACCATGCCTGCATATAAGCTACTCTTTAGCATCTTTTCACATGTTGGAAACTTATCTATGTGGGTCTTATTCTTAGTTCACCACTTGCTTTATTCCTTTTAATATCAGGCTTTTCTTTAATCTGTTTATATCCTTGAGCATAGGACTTACCTCCATTACATTTCCTGGTACCCATTTTCTCCTCAAATTGTACATTTTGTAACTTTTTTTTGCTCAGCTTGCTCCTTTTCATTTTAGATCTTCATAAAAGTGAACTCTAGTAGCAGCAAGACAGAGTTGATATTAGGCTGTCTTAAGATTTTCTCTGCCAATGAAATTAATGCAAAACACTTCAATTTAGTTTTAGGTGTACTTTTGTACACGGGCAGAAAGCAGAAGCAATCATATTCTTCACCAAAATATCACAAGAATAATTTCTAGGCAACAAACTAACATTCTTCTCCTCTGAAACATCTTTAGGCAGGCCTCTATAATTCAAATCACACTCAGAACCAACCTCTCCCACTGACTAGAAAAATGCTAACAAACAAAACCAGTCAGAATGGGAGCTGAAGCTGAGTTGATCCAATTTTGGGTCCTGGTTCCATTTCATGAAGCTGAAATGTGCATTGGTGAACAATTGTGCCCGCCCCTGCCATGCTACCATCGTCAGCAATT